ATGTTGGAGTCGGTCAAAACCTATGGGCTGTCAGCTCACAATGAAAGAAACCAATTCGCGACAGGACATGACCACCACGGCAGCACGGTTGTTGAAGTAAGCTACCGGCCACTGCCCCTGTCACTCAGCGGATGCAGGGTAGTGGAGCCACTGGACATCGCTTGGCTTCAGTGGTCACACTGGAGATTCTAGCGTCCGGCTCCCCAAAGTGTTTAGCGTCCACTTCATCCCGTCCCGCAATTGCATCAGTGGACAGACAAGCTGCCATCTTATAAGTACCACGGCTCAGGATGAGGCTGGCTGCATGTCACCACATTCATTTTATGGCGCCAACCTGGAGTGAGATTGCGATCATTTTCCTTCGTTTTGAATCTTCTTTACAGCTTGACTAACTACTAATCCCACAAGATCCTCAGTCACTAGAGCAAATAGACTATTTCTGCTAATTACGAAAGCTTGGTCGGCTAGTCTCAATATGGATCTTCAATGTCGGGCAGGCATGCGGGCGCATGAACGATAAGCCGCCGCCCGGAGCTATCCATCATTCCTCAGACACTGTTACGTACCACACTCAAGGCAGCAAATACATCATCTGCCCCAACATCCAAGCTTCGACTGTGACTACCTAGTACATGGCCAAGCAACACACGGCTCCTACGAAAGCTTGAAAGCGTGGCCATCGACAGGTGTCAAGTATCCTCGATACATTTTTACGCACCGTCTCTTGTTACGTATTGTCAGCGACATCTATAGTTCACCGAAACACTTTTCGAAGACCAGCCGTCATGTGTTAGGACAATCCAGACGTTTCCATTTCTCATATCAAACCCGCCGAACTACAACATTCGGGTAGAAATGCAAGAATACGTCGAGATCATGGCGGATGGCGGTACTGGCCAGAAGCTCACCTATGCCACAACCGTGGTCGCGGGCATTGCTTCTGTGGTTGCGACAATACTCTCTGTTATGTATGGCCTCGTCGCGTCACCCATGATGATGCACATAGCTAACCTGAGCCTCTAGCTCGATAATGTTGCAGGCTAAAAACTACCGTAAACCCCTACTACAAAGATACGTCGTTAGAATCCTTCTCATGGTTCCTATATACTCGATAGCATCATGGACAAGCATGGTCTCTTTGAAAGCTGCTGCATTTCTCGATCCGGTCCGCGATATCTACGAAGCCTTCACAATATACACCTTCTTTCAGCTCCTCATCAATTACCTTGGTGGTGAGCGATCTCTCATCATTATGACACATGGTCGAGCTCCAGTCCACCACCTCTGGCCCCTCAACCACGTACTTCCCAAGGTTGACATCTCGGATCCCCACACGTTTTTGTCTATCAAGCGCGGTATTCTTCAGTATGCCTGGCTCAAGCCTATTCTTGCCCTATCTGCTATCATCATGAAAGCGACCGGTACATATCAAGAGGGCTATATTGGTCTGAGCTCGGGATACCTTTGGAGTGGCATCATTTACAACATCAGTGTCACCGTCAGTTTATATGCGCTTGGTCTCTTCTGGGTCTGCATGAATCATGACTTGAAGCCGTTCAGGCCTGTGCCCAAGTTCCTGTGTATTAAGCTCATCATCTTTGCTTCTTACTGGCAGGGGTTTTTCCTGTCAATTCTAGTTTTCTTGGGTGCAATCCCTGATAATGTTGAGGGTTACACCTCCGACAACTTGGCAGCAGCTATCCAGGACGCTCTTATTTGCGTGGAGATGCCTATCTTTGCTGTTGCCCACTGGTACGCTTTCTCATGGCACGACTTTGCTGATAACAGCATTCTATCCGCGCGCATGCCCTTGCGCCATGCTTTCAAAGATGCTTTTGGAGTGAGGGATCTTATCGAAGACTCCAAATTGACCTTCCGGGGAGATACATACGGATACAGAATCTTTGATTCTGGTGACAAGGTCATGGCTCATGAAGACTCCAAGTCTCGTCTTGCAAGACTCAAAGAAGGTATGCGATACGAGCGTGGTGGAAAGGGGAAATACTGGCTTCCAAAGCCTGGGGAGGTAAATTCAACGACGCCTCTTCTCCGCGGGAATGGGGAATCAAGCGACAACAGACCCGATCAGATCAACGAAAACATACACGGTACCTTCGAGGAACCCGAGATTGATGCTGATGAGGATCGCCTGTACGAGCAAGCTCGCCAATTGGAATACGGCGATTGGAATGTAAGCATGATTGGTCACCATGCAATTATGCCGCTAATATGAGACAGTATCCGGTCATTACCGCCAGTGAACCGCTGAGAGAACGATACCGTTCTCCTGGCAGCTTTGGTACGAGGTCTTCAGCTTATGCGAGCCCGTCCGTAAGGTCGCCGGCAACAGAGTACCCTCCCGCAACAAACAAAGGGAAGCAAAGGAGTCGAGGACATGGACGTGAGCCCCAAACCCAACTCGAGCCTCAACCTGAAGCTGTTGTTCCCATCAAGAAGAAAAAGAAACCAAGGAAAGTTGTCAAGCATGCCGAACCAGACCCAGGCGAACTGGGCCTGAACAAGGGCCCTCCCACTCCTGCGGAAACCGCCCAAGTTGGTGGGCAGGATGGGCACGAGAGTCCCAAAAATGAAGAATCTAGATCCTGGAGCGACGATCGAAATCAGCAAGAAACCCATGCAGCGTCCAATTACCAATCCGATTATGGGATAGACCAGGACGAATTCCGCAACGTTTGGGGTAGGGATGAAGAATCTAGATAAAGGGCTGCTTTTTATATCAAATACCCCGTATGTCCGCCTGGGTTGTATAAAACTTGAGAGCTTAGCATGGAGTTATGGCTGTCAGTATACGTTGCTTTCATATCTGCTCTATTAGTAGCACGGCGTCACATCTTTCCTGGTACTGGCGAAACATGAAACGTTGTTTGAATACTAACACACTTTGCTTTTTGACACCTCGATCCATGGTTCTATGTAACGTTACACCTCACCCAGTTTGACTCGTTAGCCGTAACTCAAGCCCACGTCAAACTGAATACCTCCGCTCCATGTCGCGAGATACCAACTTCAGTCTTGCTGTCCGCGCTCTTGATGCTAGTGGGGATCTTGTCGCTCTTGCGCTCTAGGATAATCTTCTTACCAGAGGTCTCGGGTAGCTTGTAAAAGCGACGTCCGTTACGACTGAGGAAGTTCTCGAGTATCTCTTGTGTCACATCAGCTTCCGAGATAACGCCACGGTCGATAGCTTCCTCTAGACCAAGGAGCACAAGTTGCACGACGTAGGGCTGAGTGAAAACGCCAGCAGGCGCCTTACCCTGCTCAGCAGAGGTCTTGGACTGCAGGGGATGAGGAGCGCTGTCGCTACCGCTATCGGAGAATTAGTACCCAACAAGGACTTAGCTTCAACTTGAGCCCGAGACTTACAAAAAGAACTTGGAGTTGCCACTGACAATGGCCTTGATCAGGGCATCTCTGTCGGTTGGCTTCTTAGGAATGGGTTTGCAGAAGGCGAAAGGATCGCAACAGGCCTCGTTAGAAGTGAGGTAGAGGTGATGAGCGGTGATGGTAGCTATGAAAATGGTCAGGGCTGAGCATCATCCGCATCGGTTACTTGACACCATACCGCCTACAGTTGGGCCACAGGCCTTCACAGCCTCCACAGCAGCGGAGGTGGTGCAGTGCTCAAGCTGGAACAGGTGTTAACCATCACCATTCTGATCGTGGGGATGGCAGACGTACAACGATACGTAGCTGAGGGAATCGGTCATGCAGCTGCTTTAGGGTTGGGAGGAAAGCCTCCTCGAGGGTTGTGTCGGCCGGCGCAAGAGACTCGAGGACTTCTCCGTGTATGTTCAGGACTAGCACAGAACAGCGGTCAGTTCGGCCTAGTATAGGATTTCCTAGGGTTCTAACCAATTCCGTGCTTTTCCATTGCTGCAAAAGTATCATAGAAGGCTGTAATATCCGACACACCACTCTCAGAGTTGGTGGTTACACCTACAAGGATGGTGTAAGTGGTTACAGTTATAGAACTGGGCAGGATCACGTACCCTGAGGGTACAACTTGACACCGGTTACACCGGCCTCGGCAGCTTTGGCTATCACTTCAGGAGTGACTGAAGGGTGAAGCTCATACGAGTTAGGGACTGGTAGTATAGGGTGGGTTGAAGCTCACATAGAGTGACATGAGGAAGTTGACATCTTGGGTGATGGCTGTGAGCTTAGCCTTGTACTCGAGAACCTACAGGTATCACAGTCAGGATTGATCTTGCAGAAGTCTACTAAGTCCGTTTTATGAAGACGTACCTGCTCGACGGCAGTAAGAGGAGGCAACTATTCGTGGCATGGGTCAGCTGTCATGTATACAAACCATTGGATAGTTATGTATTTTGAACAGCATCACTACAAGAGACGACATACGAGATTAGGCATACTGTTATATTATATTAGCTTTTAATATCAAATCTGTTATAGTCCAGAGTCCATACACGAAGGCCGTATCGACTCCTCCTTGGCGAACCGTTGGAACAACCAAGTCCATCATATCGCCCTGACGTAAATGGACATGCATGTCAGCCGCAGCCGGCAGTTCGAGACGCTGAATGTTCTTCATCTTGAGAGTATCTTGTCAGTGGCAATTGAAAACTTGGTAACCCGTAGACGACAACGCCTGATAGTAGATGATAGCTGAAGCGCGGGGTTCACTTTTTTTTCTTCGATGCCCCGCGGTCTCAGAGAACGACTAAGAATGCTACACCAGGTTTCGGAAACTTTCTACCAATCAGACAAGCTCTCGACTGGGCCGGACAAACCACAAATCCGCGTCTACAGGCGGTGTGAGAAATTTGTCGGTCTGTCAAGGCAGAATCGCAGCAACGGCACAATTCTATCATCAAATCCCAGCCCTACGTTATCAATCCTGCAGCGATTCTGAAGCCCCTTGGACTTACGACACTGGCCTCTGGTGGAAACGGCGTATCAGACGCCTTGACGGTTCAGGTTGCGGGCGACGCGCTTGCAACGACGCCCCAGAGCGCGCAATGGGCCGCAAGCCCAATCCCCTCATTCTCGAGTACTTCGTCCGGGGACCTAAGCTCAACGACAACAGTAACCGATATCCGCATACGTGCAAGCAATGCGGTGAGAACTTTCCAAAGGGAAGGATCGATAGTTTGACAACGCATATCACCAAGAAATGTCCCGCCATCTCCGAGTCAGATCGTATGCGAGCATGCCTCGAACTTCATGGTATCACCAATGCACGAGCACCTGTCGATCGACCACCCCCTGAAGCGCAGCCGAACGGGCAGCCAGCCGATGTTCCAAACCTCCCCCAAGGGTGGAGCGCCCTCGAGACACTCGCCGAAGCCTCACGACAGGTTGATTTGAACGAGAACAATCGTGCTCAGAGTGTACAGGCAGGCGTCGCTGACCCCGCTGACCCCGCCAACGCCCAGCATGTTCCAGATCGCTTCGAGCTTCACGAACAATTCACTCTAGACAACCCTCCCGTGAGCTACGAGAACCGGTCGCAGCAGGGCAACAGAGGTAATGGCCCCTTGGAGCCTGACTTACAAGGCGCCCTTCTCACAACAAATGTGTTAGGTGCAATTCAGCAACCCCTCCCAGGAACCGAGTTATCACCCGAGGAACGACTTCAAGCATTGCTTCCTAATAGCGTTGCTTCCCCAGACGTCTCGAACATATCGGTCGCCGTTGCTGCTACAGCCAGGCTAAACCCGTCGCTTCTTGACCCCCAGCTCGTTCACGAGACTGGTACCTCGACTACACCGCCGTCTATGGACATTCCGACCCCGATAGAAGCCTCTCCCAGTGCCGTAACAGCTCCCGACAGTGGAATTTCGCAACCGTGGGGCGAAATGACATACTTGGCGACTGCCTCGCCTGTTCCTTTACTTCACGAGCATCCACCGACACCTATCCAGATGAGCAGGGGTGGTGTTCGGATGGACACAAGCGATGGCCAACTTAATGGGAGACCTCGACACGCGCGATCTCGCTTTACTGCTGCGCGGCGAAAGGAGGTGCAGGAAGTTCGCAAAATAGGTGCATGCATTAGGTGCAGAATCCTTCGAAAGAATTGCGGCAAAGGAACACCATGTGACACGTGCAGGAAGGTTCTCGCACCGAGGGTGTGGAGGACTGGTTGCGTGCGAACGAGGCTCCAGGAGCAGCTTGATTTGTACTCGGCGGGTGTCCAGGTTGTCCTGTCCCAAAATCGCATCAACCTCTTGAAGAACCAGCTGAATATGACCCATGATGGTACCATGATAGAGGTTTCGCACTTTCCTGAAACTGGCAAGGTCATACTCCTCGAAGCTTTGGTTGCACTGCTAGAGCCTAGCGAGTCGCTAGCAGAATCCAGAGGCAGCAAGGATTCATTCTTCCAGGTTATTATGATCGACCAGGACAAGGAAGATGTTCCTGGCAAGGTTGAGGCCTATATGCGTGATGTCTTTCAGCTTTTTATCGACCGAGAGCCCTCCAAGTTCATGCGTGTCACTCTGAGTCTTGCTCTTCAGCAATTGCAAGAGTCAGAGGATGATCTACTTCGAAAGTCCCTAGAGCTATGGGGTTTGGTGGAGAGTATCGATCGCGAGAGGCAGTGGAACGTTATTGAAAGACCAGCCGATAAGAATGAAGAGCCCAGGCGCATCCAAGAAGCCAAAAGCGAGAACGATGCTGACATCTATACGACGCTTTGCATGCAGCTGAACGCGGCAGCTGAGAGAAAGGCCAACAACACTTCAAAGGCACTGCTCAGCGGAATGCATCGCGTACTCCAGGACAGCAAGGTCAAGGTGAACTTCAAGATGTATCTAACGGCTGTCATCTTCCTCAACTGTCTTGAGAAATCGACTTGGGCCTTCAAAGCTTGGGAGCAAGATCATCTCCGCCCTGGGTGGCCCCTAGAACGAGACCCGGGTGTCTTCACACAGCAGGGAGGTAATCTAGCAGGGCTGCTGAAGATGCTTTTGGCAATCCGCAAAGCCCTGCCACAAACACTCCGCAGTGACACAGGCAAGTTGATCACCTCGGAACAAGATCCTGTTATAGGAACTTACTTCCAAAGCATCGATTTGGACTGTGAGTACCATCCGTTCTAATCCGTTTGTAATAGCCGGCTAACCACTGTAACAGACGATACGATCCTTGCCCGCCAAGATGGCTCCCCCTTCTCCCCAGCAGACTCTCGATCCCTCGAGATGATTCTCTGCTCTCACCTTCTCATTACGAACACTCCTTGAACGATTCTTCACAGGTCGATGCTTATGACACTTGCAATCGTTGCTCACGGAGTATGTCAGCATAAATCATGCACGGGGGGAGACGTATTTGATTTGAACCGTTTAATGGCTAATGACTGGACGGAAAAGAATATGAATTTTGATACCACACGATATATACTATACCTATGTATGACTAGGCACGGTGCCTTTGGGCCCAATGCGTTATGAGAGAGAGCAGGAAAAGTCAACGAAAACAAAATAGAAATCAGGGGCTGTGGTCCAACTCTGGCGTTCACGGTATAGAAAAAAAAACCAAGAAACAATATACCTCGGGGTTTCTTTAATGCAATTTTCAGCGATGGGACCGGGCTTACAGAAGTGAAGGAAGTTGATCGTGATTCACTTCGCTTATGCTCTAGTACGACGTGTTCTTAAATACACAGACCTCTTCGCCGAGCGCACTCTAACCCGTATAGTCCATGGCTGTTGTGTAACTATCATCCTCCCGCTCTTGGTTGCTTGATATGCCGGAAATATACGGATCCAGAGCCTTCTAGGTTGAGATACCGGACAGTCCGCTATTATTCCTGCTGGGGCCGTGGCCTGGCCTTTTTGGCTTCTTGAAGCAAGCAAATTCATTTTTGCTCGCTTCTCTAAGACGTTTGAGAACGTTGCGCATTTCGGACAGTTCGCCTTGGAGACGTGCGCGGGCCTCGTTGTCCGTACGGGCATCAAGCTCTTGATAGATCTGGCTCTGAAGCTCCGAAGCACGCTCCGAAGTGTAGTGGCTGAGGGTCTGAGCGACGAATTCTACGTCGAGGGTTGCTTGCATGAGTGCCTCTAGAGTATATCGCGGCCGACGTCTGAAGGCTTCCAGGAGCTGGGTGGACGTCTGTTCGAGTAGGAAGGACAAAACTTCGACCGTAAGAGCCGGCGCAGTAGTAGAAACCTGAGAATGAACAAGTACGAGAGTAAGAAGCGCCTCGTACACATATGGTTTAGCTGCCTGGGTACGTTGCCCTTGGCCAGGAGCCCAGTCAGGGGCTGAGATGCCTGATTGAATGACATCGCGAAGCCTTTCGATTGACTGTTTCGTGTAGGACTGGAAAAGTCGTTCATGGATCTGTCCAAGAACTTCGCGAATCTTTTTGGACTCATCAGTCAACTTTACAGAGAAGGCATTCTCGAACTGCAAGTTGAGACTTGGCACTACTTGTGACCGCAATGATGACAAGTTACTCAAGGTCATGAGCATGCGAATGTTCTAAATAGAATTGTCAGTACAGTGAAGTCGTTCGAAGTAGTAGTAGAAGGCGTACCCTATCCCCCGAGTCCAGTGCCCCTTTGCCCGCCATGCTCGGCGCTGCAGCCAATGCAAGGGATCTCTCGCTATCTATTAACCAGTCGTCCTCCGTCTTCTTCAAAGAGCGCTCGGCGTTTTCGACCATGCCGCTCAATGCCTTGTACAGAGTGGTAACATACTGGCTGCGGACCATCATGAGAAGTTTGGTCGGAGGTGGCAAGACAATATCTCCCGAGCCTGACCTGGACATGGCATCGGGGATGTAGAGTATTTTCTGCATGCCTGATAGGACTGCTCCTTCGAAGGCAGCGAAGCTGGCTGGCATTCGTGTCACGTCCCCCATCTCAACCGAGCGCTGCCAGTCCTCAACATACTTAATATTCTCGGCATCTCTGTTCCAGGCTGCGCACAACGCTGTCACGCATCGCTCTCGGGAACCCCCAACAAGACTTCGGAGGCGATCAATTACCTGGCTTTCTCCGGACTCAATTGGCTCAATGCACGCCAAATCACCAGCTCCAGCGCCAACTAAAGTCAGCATCTTCGACAGGTAGTGAACACCGCTGATAGAATTAGACCACGGAGGCCAGAATGCCAGCTTTTCCCAGACTTCACCCCTCTTGGGCGAAGGAGGCGGCATGTTGTTTGGATCGAAATTGAAGCGAGGATCTCTGGGAAACGACAATGCGGCAGATCCGGGCGTCGTCGGGGCTGGCGTATTGGGTACTGGTGAGAATAGCAGTGATACATCTTCGGGAGGCATATCCACGAAGAATGAATAAGCATGTTCTCGGAGCAAGTCCACTAGTTCCACAGCTCCCTTTCGTAACTCGTCAACGCTCTGCGGTGAGAGTTCATGGTGATGCCGAGACTCGCCCCGATATCCAACGGGGAGGGCAGCTTGAGCAGACCCATTAATGAACCCCTGCACTGTCTGCCAGAACTCTATCACCTCACCCAGAATACCTTCACTTGACAGGAGACTGTTCAGGAATGATAACATCTTCTCCCAGAGCTCAATTACTTCAGGCGAGTCGAATGTCAAAGGCTTATCCTCAATCACCGGGCGTCCTAGGGATCGAAGATGCGCGGCGATAATATTGGGGTTCGGTTTATCGTTACTGGCCAGCCGGCGACGAAGCACCTCGATCTCAACTTTTGAGCGGTCTGCTGTCGATTGAATTTTACCCTTCAAATGGTCGTATCGACTCAAAAGCCACACCCAGATGGGGTTGTCATCGGCGCCAAGCTCAAGTAGCAATCCGATGAGTTCCATATGTTGGTCTTGAATACGGCCAGTTGTGCCATCCGTCCTGGATGCGGTGTGAAGAGTAACCAGCCTCTTCCAGATGTCGCGTTTGAAGGCGCGTATCTGCTGGTCAACATCATACCACATGCGTCCCGCTATCAACAACTGGTAAAGTTGGGGCTCTGTCGGTGTCTCGTCCCCTATTTCCTCTGTCAATCGCCGAGCTTCGTCTGCAATTTTTCTTGCCCTGCTGAACTCGTCGACTAATGATTCATAATCCTTGCGTTTGATGCTGTCTGCTATCGACGTGCTCAGCTCAACGTAGTCCTTGAATCTTGTCAGATGATTTGAAACGGTTTTGAGGTTTTCCTCCTTCTCTCTTCCTCCTAAAGCAGGTCCCCATACGTCCTCAGCCTTTGCAGAAACCTCCAGTAGAGGGCCCTTTATTCCCAGCACACCGTACTCGCTCTCTTTTGTCAGTGCATTCTTTTTACGCATGTCAATATTGGGAGATGTCAGGGGATTGTTGATTCCTAACCCAGCACCACCCGCCACACTATTTCGATAACTGCGACGCTGGGCTGCATTGGAGTGCGCATTATTGGCGTCAGGTGGTTCCATTCCGCGGTATTTCATCTCCTTATAGACATTATCTATTGTTGCTTTGGCTTTGACGAATCTTTCGAAGTTGGTCTCGACGAGGACCTTGAGAGACGCTGACTTTTGATCGATGGATTGTGATAGAACGTCGAGACCAGTAAGGAGACTCCGAGTGTCGGCAGTAGCATGCATCTGGGAGAGGAAGAGAGCTGGCGAAAATGTTGTTGAAGAGAGTAGGAATCGATTGCCTGGTTTAGCCACACGCCGTCAATCTATTATATCCGTGAATCGCACAGTCATGGCACGGGAGCATACGTAGTCGGTGGTCATCTTGGAGGGGCAGACCAAGATGCTTCAGTGTTCTGACGACGCTATCAGTAGTCCCTAGCGGATCTGGCTCGTCTTTTTGAACAATATTTCCAACACCTCCTTGATCGTCTTCTCTGGGAATGTTGCTCCGTCGTTGGCTCACGGCTCTCTCGAGCGCCTGATAACGTGACTGTCTTCGTTTTATAGCAGCATTTTTCTCGCCTTCATCATCATCGTCCAAGTCTTCCAGGTCCTTCTCAGCTGGCCATTCTGTAGGGTACAGAGTAGGTATCTGGTAAAAATCGAGGATCGTACGCTCGGTATCGGCCATGGTGATTCTGATGATGGTCTTGAGTTAGAACTTAGGGGTGCCGTCGCATACTCGATAGGGTCGGACTGTGTTGCGCCGGGTCGGCGCAGTTATCTTTGCGAACTATTCTCTAGTCGAGAGAGAAAATCCAATAACGAGTGTCACACGCGGAATGTTGCAGTACGGGTCTATTATATCACAGGTGATGTTGCTGTGAATAGGTGCTTGGAGATCTAGTGCTATGATGCTAGAAGCTACCTGACTTAGTAGGCACTCCAGCAGCCCAAGGTGTATGTGGCTGGGCAATGGCCAGGTAATGAATGAATGGTGGGTTAGCTACCTTAGTTATAATTGGGCTGTGGGATTCAGGTGTGGCAGTCCAGGTGTGGCGTCGCATATGCTGTGACTTGTACGGAGTAAACATTTGGACACTAGTACCTAAAAGGGTATGAAACTCATGATAAATGAGCGTCATGTAAAATTATAGCGAGGCATAAAAGGAATTTACCCTTGGACTAGAAGTACGCATTGTCATGAGAGCGATATGAGAGTGACAAATTTTTAATTTTGACTATATTGTTACCAATGTTATATCACATAGCTCAGGCATTATTTTGCACTGGTTCTCATCTCATACACTGTTTTTGTTGGTCCTCATTATCAAGAGCAACTCTGTAACTTGATCATTTCGTCGTGCCTGATTCTAGGTCTGGTATACTCAACAAGTACACTACCCTTAAAAAAAAAGAAAATCGCGTATAAACCCTCGGGTGAGGAGGCAGGTATCTAAACTGAAGGATGTATATTTACAGCCTGGAGATGATGGCAGCGGCGTACTCGTTGGTCTTGGCCTTGCCGCCAAGATCACCAGTGAGGGCCTTGCCTTCGGCAAGAGTATCGAAGATAGCGGTCTCAATGCGGGAAGCGTGCTCGGTGAGACCCATGTGTCGCAGCATCATGATGGAACTGAGGAGGAGGGCAGTAGGGTTGGCGAGGTTCTTGCCAGCAATGTCGGGAGCGGAGCCGTGGACAGCCTCGAAGATGGAGCACTCATCACCAATATTTCCGGAGGGGGTAAGACCAAGGCCACCGATGAGACCGGCGCACATATCGGACAGAATGTCACCGTAGAGGTTGGGCATGACAAGGACCTTGTCGTTGTAAGGAGTGGGGTCAGTGACCATCTTGAGGCAGCTGTTGTCGAGGAGCTCAGCGTCGAACTCAATACCGGGGAAGTCCTTGGCAAC